GAAGAACTCTGCCTTTCTTTTTCCTTTTTCCCTAGTCGAATTCCTCACAAAACACCTCATTCCTTACTTAAACACTTTCTTTTCTCATAAACCAAGCCTAATTTCTCTCTTAGTGCTAAACCCATGTTGATTTTGCTCCCATGCCACATGCCACTCATGCTGAGCTGAAAAGACTATCTGTAAGCATGCCAAAACTATCTGCAAGTTACCATTATTCTCGTTGGTGAAGATAACCAAAATACTTCCTAAGGCTCTACTGCCTTTTCGAGGTATTTTGGGGCTTAATTTTCGAACTCAGGCTCAAGGGGCAATTTCTTCCATTTTCCCCTTTACGGCAGTCAGGCCCGTAGTAGCTGCCGGAAGAAAAAAGCCCCTACACCTTTTGTATACAATTCTGCATCAGAGCATGTGATCTTTCCAAGAGATAAGCAAACTACAATCTCAAAGAGATAAGTGGGAAGCATGGAGTTGTTCAAATAGACAATCAAAACTAACCATCACAGTTCTAAACTCTTACATTGAGCAGTTAAATTGGAAGAAAGGTTAGGTTTTTCTTCAAAAAAACAGGAAAGTGATTGCCTTAGGAACTGACTATTGATGGCTTATCTGCCAGAATTGATAAAATCTTTTTTTCTTTGCATTTAAAAATGAGAGATCTTTTGAGAATTTTTGCCGCCCATTATTAAAAGAATTAAAAACCCTATGCCAAAACATTTCTTATAAATATAAGAGAGGGTGAACAGAACACAGGACAATCAAATCAAACAACGAAAAAATCAACCAAAACACAAAAACTCAAAATGATCACTTGATCTCTAAGAACCTTCAAACAAACTAAAGCAACCAAAAGCTCATTCAAGTCACAAAAAAAGCAAGCAATAAATCAGAACTTCCAGTTCAGACTTAAAAGAGATAAGTCATTCAAAACCAGATTCCTCTAGTTACAAATTTGATTCAGCAAAAGCCAAAACAAGCAGAGTTTGAGTTTTTACAAATATGAAAACCTCAACAAATTTATGGAGAGCCCTCACTAAGCAGAACAGGCACCACAATGCAGTTCTAGCTCAGTAATCATCAAGTCCAGCCACTTCTGCCCCCTTCAGACTGAAGCGGCCGCAATTCTGTCCACTCAGAAAGCCTTCCACGGCTTGAAATATATTAAAGCTCCGCCAAACTTGAACGTTAGTATCGATTTACAGCTGAAGCTTAGCAGTTGAAGTTGTTAATAGCTCAGTCCAGCACATGCTTACTCAGTCCAGCCTGGATCAGGAGTTTTCTACCCAAGCAGAAATGGAAGTCCAGCCTTCTTTTTGTCTTTCTAGAGTTGATTTTTCCTTTTTCAGTTTTGTAAAGGCACTTCTACCTAAAAACAGTTTACTATCTTATCATATATTCTGGCCAGAACTACTAGTTTTGTACTGTGAAAAATTGTGAAGTCCTCACCAGTTTGAGGCAAGCAAAGAACTTACTTTGGAGATATTTCTCACTCAAATTCACAATCGCTTGTTTAGAAATCAGTAACTTGGGGCGCAAGTTATCTATTCTTAAGAAGTCTGCTTGGATTTTTATTGCTAGCAGTGACACGCTTGCACACTAAAGAAAGTTGACTTGTTGACCAGTCAATGGTTTTCAAGGCAATGAGAAACTTTACCCTTCGATCACAATAGCAAACATAAAACGGATGAACAAGTCCTAGACTAATTTTCCGCCTCCAAAAAGTAACGATTTGGGTTTTGTTTGGACTCAAACCGTTTTTTCCCCCAACCCATCATACTCAAATTTTAAGTCCACAATTTTATTAAATTGTTTAATAATGGTTTAAGTCTAATTTTTTTTTTCATGAATAAATTTTCATCATTTAATCTTTTTAAATAACTTCATTATTTTTTATTTTTTTTTTTAACAATTTGACCTAAAAAAATTGAAATACCACAAATATAATTTTATTTGAGAAATGGATGGATCTTTATAGAGTTTGGAGTGAGTTTTGGGGTCGGATCTGATTTAGATTAATTTAAAATATTATTTTGTCTGTTGAATTTAAATTTTAGTCGTTGGATTTTTTTTTTACTGTTAAAATAGCTTGGATTTAATTTGGATAGTTGATTTGGGTTACTGTTGGAATAAATAAAAAATAAAAAAGAGCTGCAACACCCCTTTGCAGCACAGCAGTCGCAGGCCCTATTTTTCCTCCTTGCACGTGGGTTGCTTCTGGCTCACTGGACTCCACACAAAAAAATTTCCAATCTAGGCAATAGCTAGATTAGTATTTCCGCCTCAAATTTTTGCCCCTTACTTTTCTTGGGTTGGGAAATGAATTGGGCTAAAATTTATGATTTTTTGGGTTTGGTCTGTTGGGTTAAAGATGACCCTTAACAGTGTGGCGAAATTTTATAGTGAGGGTGCCATATATGGATCCCTCATTTGGACCTTCATATTAGCCACAAGATCATTTCATTAAACTTGGGTGAAGTTATTATTAAGATGAATCATGTGGCTAATATGAAGATCCTCATCTATAGTCCATAAATAACACCCTCACCACAGAACGACTTGTGCAATGTGTGAGAAAACCTCCTAACTTTGGCCCAAAACCAAAAACAAACTCAAGAGTCATGTTACCGTTTAATCTGACGGTGACATTTTCCTGTGACATTCAATCTGACGATGTATCTATTAATTCCAGCTTGGCAAGCAGACGACGTCGTTGGATATGTCTCGAGCGCGCCAAGTCGAAATCTTTAAAATGATAAATTGAATTTCTCGAAGAGCAGCAAATTCCTAAAGCCCCATAAATGGAAGAAGCTTGCAAATCCTCGTTGAACTTCTTCTCCGATCAACAGCTCTGCTATGCCGACGTCCTCTCTCCTCTGGAGGTCATCGCCAGAATCCAAGTCGCCGTCCTCAACTTCCTCCGGATCTTGACTTCTCCAGCTCCTGCAATCTCCGACCTCCCTCTCGTAATTTTTAACTAACTCAGTATTTCATTCTCATTTCAACAACTTTCTTTCTCATTTTCTCGCCAACCAAACACAAAATAACTTGAAATTGAAAAATCCACAGGTCGCAAGAAAATCAAGCAACAGCCGACTCAGCCAAGGCCTGTTGACTCAAACTTCATGGATTTTCCTAACAAACGCTTTCTCCACCAGGTCTCTCAAGCGACCCAATGCTGCCAAAGCCTTCATCAGAGGTTTACTTACTCAATTGATTAATTAATTGTATGGATTTTAGCAACTTCTGTTTCAATTTCTCATGTGTGATTCACTGTAACAGTGTGGAAGGTGATGGCAATGTGCTCTCAGATTTTGGGTCAAGAGAAGAAGGTCACACAGAGGGAGCTTTTCTACAAGTTGCTCTGCGATTCACCGGGTTATTTCTCGTCTCAATCGCAGGTCAATCGAACTGTCCAAGGTGATCACAATTCAACAGTACCAACTTCGGTTTTGTTTCAATCTTTTGGGACTTTTTTCAAACAAATGGAATGCCTAAAATTTTACTTATATTGGTGCAGATGTAGTGGCATTGCTTCGCTGCAGCCGTTATAGTCTCGGAATCATGGCGTCTAGCAGAGGACTTGTAGCCGGCCGTTTGCTGTTGCAGGTACTCCATCGTTGCAATCTGTAAATGTTTAAATGGTTGTGGAGAAATTGGGTACTTAATTAATTAACAGATTATCAATAATTTAATATGCACAGAGAGGCTTAATTGGATTAGTCTTGTTATAGGAGCCAAACCAAGGGGTTGTGGATTGTGCTGCCTGTGGATTTTCCGGGCATGGTATCTCTGGTGACTTGAGTTCCATTGATAATTTGATAATGAAGACGGATGCAAGGTACATCATTGTGGTGGAGAAGGTATTTGCTTATTGAACTTCTGTGTGTCTGACTAAGATTATGATAGCTTGCCAGCTTCTTGACTTTCCAAAAATATTGATTTACTTGGATATGATTAGCATGCAATATTCCAGCGGTTGGTGGACGACCGTGTGTTCAACCAAATTCCTAGCATTATTATCACTGCCAAAGGGTACCCTGATATTGCCACAAGGTAATTAGGTCAGTTGGAGCTGAGTTCAACTTCTCGATGCTTTTTGCTTTGAATCCCACAACAAATTCCTCAATTTAATTGAAGATTTGATACCCTATAGACTCAATCATGTATGCCTTAGCCATTGTTTGAATGTAGGCTTCTTCTTCACCGGATGAGCCGGGCATTTCCTGACTTGCCAATTTTAGCACTAGTTGACTGGTATGGATGCCCTCTCCTTGTCACTTCTGATTGTTTACGTTGCAGGCCCTCATCTTTTTGACTGCTAGAAATTTTTTGAAGGAACCCAGCTGGGTTAGCTATTTTGTGCACCTTCAAGTTTGGAAGTATAGGGATGGGCCTGGAGGCTTACAGATACGGTTAGCTATTCTGTGCACCTTCTGTTTATATGTTGCTGAAATACAATTTTTTCTTACGTAGAAATAAACTTACAAAGGTGGGTTGGTTTATGGTGTGTTCTAGCGTGCAATGTGAAGTGGTTGGGAGTACGTAGGGATGACCTAGAGCTGATACCCGAACAAGCTTTAGTTCCATTGAAACCAAAGGACCTCCAAATTGCTAAAAGCTTGATGTCCTCGGAGATGTTGCAGGTGAACTATTTACCCTAAATCTCATGGCATTTTACTTGACGTTATTGAAAAAATCATGGTTTTTGGTATTTGTAAAATTAGGTCCTGAAAAAATCTGTATTGCAGGAGAATTACAGAGAAGAGTTGACATTAATGGTTGAAAGTGGTCAAAGAGCAGAAATTGAAGCTCTGTATTTTCATGGATATGATTACTTGGGGAAGTTCATTGCAAAGAAAATTGTGCAAGCCAATTACATCTAACAGCAGCTCATATTTCATTATAGTCGCGTACCAGAAACACTGTATTGTTGAGAGGGATGCTCACCCCTACGATAGAAACAAGAAATGAAGAGAATGACAACACCAAATCTCCGACAGAACTGATTTGAATATTTTTTTATCTTATTTTAAACATCACAATAATAAGCAAACTCTAGAATTACTGTTTACATGAGTTTCATCCTTATAGCAGCTCAGATTTAACACAAATAATACAAAGCAAATGGCGCTTTGATTTACTTTCGACTGATCACTACAACAAAACTAGTAAAGGGCATACCTATATGAATTTTAATTATAAACTAGACTCAGCTGCAATGTACATATCACGATGCAGAAGTCTCAAAATCGTCGAAGTAAAAGAATGTGACCTCTCAATATCTCTAACAAAATCTTCAGCCCCTCCTTGATGTGAGACTCACTTTTTTTCCTTCCACCATGAACTTGTTGCTGCCTTCCAGCTGCAGTCACAGCCAACAAAGTTATGGCTTGCAGAGATAAGAAAATACGAAAAATACATTTAAGAAAAAGGAACATATTGTGAAAATTCAGTGATGCAGCAGGGGTCAAAATGATATTTTCTTTTTGAAGGCAAACCATTTTGCAAACACAAGATTACTGCCTGTCTACCAAAAACGAAAAAAGAATACTGCTTCAAAGTAACTTGGTTGCATACCTTGTCTCTCAAGTAAGCAAGCGCATCTTTCTTTGAAGAAAAATTGGAGAAAACAGAAGATGAATGTTCGTCAATCAAAGCTTTCAATGTTTTAAGCTTCAAAGACTCTCCAGGTGCCTGGGAACAGGCCAACAATTAGGGCCGGGGAAATTCTGAAAATTAAAAGTGCAATTTTAGGACGACTCACCTGACGAAGGAGCTGTTTACTAAGATTTTTCAGCTTTACTTTTGTTTCATTGGCACTTCCCATTTTCAAAGAGTCATCTCCTTTTTGTTTCACAGGAGATCCAAGATCAGCAGAATCTTCATCATCACTATCGTTAAATGACGTCTTTTTTCCCTCAAAGTAGCAACCAGCTATTTTCTTTTTACGGTCCTTAATGCCTAGTCCTTGCTTTCCAGTTGTAGATTTATCCTGAAAACATAAGGCACACACGGTAATGGTCTGACCAATAACACAATTCCAATCTTTTACCAATTCAGTTAAATAACTTTTTCATAGCACTCTAGTCACCTATCTAGCAATAAGGAAAAACTGTTTGTGGCTTCACCAGCCACTGCTGTCACTTCATTTTTAGATGTTACAAGCATTAAGCAACTAGGATTCTGATTGCACAACAAACAGTTATACAACTCTTTAAGATAATATACGTTAAAGAAAAGAGATCCAACCAGGAAAGTACATACCTGAACAAGATTGTAAAGATTTACTTGATCGTCCTCGTAAAACATAGTCCTCTCATTACTTTGAGACTTTTCTGATTTTCTTCTTTTCAACTCTGCTCCAAGCAAACCCCCCGGGATGAACCCATATTTATGGCCCCACCAATTTGGAGGAAGCTCTTTACATGCGTTTCCTGTAATAATGTGATAGGATTGTTAGACAAGAAAAAAAAAAAGGTTCTAACAAGGAACCAAAGAGTACAAGCATGAAAGAAAAAAAGAAAAAAAAGAAAAGAAAAAGCAAAATCAGCTTAATCTACAAAAAATTAATTAACTTTTTGCACAGAAAATCATTTTTCTTTTTGAAAAAGAGTTACATATCCAATCAACTAATGGTTAAAACAGTAAAATCTGATACTAAACTTTAGATGCTTTCTGCACAAGTGAAATACTTATTATGGGATTATGGGTTCACCTTGAGGAGCACTCTCAATAAAGGTTACCACGGTAAATATCAAGCATCAGAAATTCAGTGGTGTTTCAAAAGCCTTGGTGCTAAATCGTTAGGAATATTCTTTAAGGAATGAAAGAAAGCACTAGATAATATAGTATTATTCACTTAAATAAATTACGCAACATAGATATGAATACCTAGGAAGGAAATGTGCAACCAAATTCAGACAACATAAATATGGATAACCAAGAATAAAGTCCTAAATGTGAAATTAAAAGAAATAAAAAAGAAGAAGAAGATCAGGTATTGGATCCCTTGATCATAAAAGTCTACTCATCATTTCAAATACTAAATGGTTAACTTCCTCCTATATATATCTATTCCAGATTATTACCTTCAGGAGGACATATAACTTGAATCTCAGATGCCTTCTCTGACTCCACTTCTCCACCCACATCAAAATTTATCTCTGGAGACTCTGCCCTTCTGACCTGCATCGTGCATGAATCACCACAGTCAGCAATGACATAATGCATGCCCATAATGAACTTGGACCTTGCATTCAGGTTTCATAAACCACGTATATGCTCATTTTGCAAAAAATAATCTGAAACTTACAAGGATTCCTTCAATATCCTTAGCAGAATAAGCATTAACAAGCTTTCCTCTTTCTCTTTTCTTATATCTGATTATCATAGACAAAAGACAGGCACAATTTAGCATTAGTGAAACAGCTAGTAATCGAAAATAAAAAATCTTAAAAGAATTCAACCAACCTTCCCTGTGGCCGAGTAAACTTCACAACTGGTTCCTTAACATCAGTAGGCAATTCAGTATCACTTTCCACTTGAGTGGTGTTCTTCCCAGCAACTATAAGAAAACAAAGACAATACTCCTCAAACTACTAGTTCATAACATACAATAACCAAGTTAATCTAAGCAAAATATACCTTCATCGCTAGGTTCCGCTGATTGCTGCCAATACAAAAACAAAAAAAACACATAAATAATAAAGAGTGATGCGTCGAAAGTTCGAAATTCGTCTGAAATGGATTGAATAAGAAGATAAAATTCATAAAGTTTACCACTTTCAATCTTTTGAGGATACTATCAAATTGGGTTGTATCAAATGCCCAATTGTTGGGCTTCTCCACACCAACACCTATTCAATAAAATCATACACAAAGATCTATATAAGCTTGCTGTTTCCATTCACCAAAAAACTTTAAAAAATTATTGGCCTTTCCAATTCCTACCTCAAACCAAGCAACAAAGCAAAACACTGAATAAACAAAAACTCAAATGGAAACAATAACATAAGGAGGAAGCCAACCAGTAGTGTCCTGCTTGTTTTTGACTCTAACATAGCCTTTGATCCCCTGCTTGTCTTTCCCAAGCCCCTCTCCTTCTTCCCACCCCTATATAACAGCACAATTAAAATAAATAAATTGAAAAATCATTTCCCAATTAAATGTAGTGGGAAAAAACAACAAAACATGTTTATGAAGAGAGAGAGAGAGAGGAGCACCATTTGTTTCATGAGGCGGAAAGCAGCGGATTTTCTGGCCACACCCACATAGCAAAGAGGGGGTTCTGGTGCGGCCATGTTTGGTTTTTGCTTATCTGACTCCGACCCACCGGCCACGATCTGCAGCCGTCTCTGCGTCTCTCTGTTTCCCGAGGTGGAGGAGTAAAGAAGAGGAGGCTTGCTATGCTCCAACCTAATAGAGGAACTGAGGGACCGCACGGTTTTCGGTGTTCCACTCTAAAAACGACGTCGTTGCCCTCGCTAACCAACCACTTCCCTCCCTTTTTTTTTTGGTCAATACCCCCCACTTCCTTTGCTTTTCTTTTCTTTGTTGCTGGAGTTTTGGGCTTATGACTCACAAAGTGCTTTAACCTAGAGGTAGAAGCTTGGAATGGGACTAAGCCCACTAATAACAAAGGGTTTTTCTTTTCGGCAAAAGTTATAATTCAAGTGATTTAAGAGTAGTTATTTTTGTTGAATACTTTTAGGTTATAAACCCTACTCCTTCAGTATCGCTTGTATAGAAAAAACGGTTGGATCCAAACTTGGACATGTTTCAACATTATATATATCATTAAAATAATAGCTAATTAATAACCCCAAAAAATGAACAAAAGTAGACATGACATTTTACCTGGATAGGTTGGAGCCTTGGACCAGTTTCGTCTACCCTAATTTTCTAATTTGTTAAAATATTAGTGAAAGATTTAAGATCCATGCTAAAATAGCAGATCGAGTTCGAAAAGGAAAAGGAAATCATCAAGCCATCATATGGAAGTCTAGAAGGGTAAACAACCACAATATTAGGTATATTTTTATATTGACACCGACATTGTCATATTCATTCTTATGTTGGCAATATGATCTAAAAAATAAAGTAAAGTAGTAAGCCTTAACATACATGGACCAAGTTTGTTAAAGTGGATGTGCTCTTCATTCTGCATTCCGAGTGAATTCCCTTTCCATAATAAATTAGATTAAAATAAAATATTGTTTGAATCAAAATAGTAACTCTTAATAATAATAATTTAAAAAAAAAGAGTAAAATCACATGTATGAGGCTTTTTATTCCTTTACTAATTAGAAGTTAGGACAATGGGGTGGCACGAAGAATTAGGGTCCTCCCCTATATAAGATGTGGCATACATATGCAACTCTGTCTGTGTCTTCTTTGAGGCTGGTTCTAGAATCGGGGGGTGTCTCTAGATTTTAGGTGCATTCCATGGGTTCTTTGTTCGGTGACTGGCCGTCATATGACCCTCACAACTTCAGCCAGCTCCGGCCCTCCGATCCTTCAACTCCTTCTGTGAGTTTTCAGCATCTCAATCAAACCCATTTTGCCATTCTTTTTCTTTTAAGCTGTATATAAACATGCAAAGCTTTGATTTTTCTTTACCTGTGAAGTTCTTTGCTTTCTTTTTGTTTGGTTTTGTACATCTGTTATGGTGAAATTGCTGAAGTTGTTGATTGTTCTGAACTGAGTTGTTGTGGCAAAAAAAGATTCTGCCTTTTATGATACTGTTCAGCGCAAGGTAAGGGCTTCCTGTTATTTTCATCAAGAAATTTCGAGACCCGGTTTGAATTTTATGGGAAGTTTGAAATGATTTTTGTTTGTACATCCAAAAAGATAGATTTTAGTGCAGATTTTGCTTCTTTTTATTTTATTTTAATTTTATGGTAAATGATGTTGCAGCAATGTCATTGAAATGATAAATCTTTCGTTGTAATAAATCGTGTGCAAGTGAGTGTGGTTTGAATTGGAACATCTTCCTGTATATTTTCATTTGTTTTCTTCCATAACTCATATGAATTCATAAGAAATGCTATTCGTTTGATATTTGGATCAGGGAGCAATATGCTGCTGTTGTTTGTGCTTTGATGTCTCTGATTCGTAGTCTTTTGCTTAAACTACGCGCATTGTTTCACTTCCCGGATCTCCGAAAGTTTCATGCTTTGTTATTACGTTGGTCTTATATTTATTAGGATTGATGCTTTGTTCTGCAGCTAACATATAGTGCTCTAGTCTTGTAGAGTTCACAAGAAATTTGAAATCAGATGCATTATTTTTAACTTAAGATTTTATAGCAGTTGGATTGAAATATCATATATTGGAATGATATGGGATCATGGATACTGCATGATTAATTTACCATATGCATGAAGCTCATTTAGTCCGTTTCTAAGCTAAGATAGAAGTTCTAGTATTTAAACAGCGTCCAAATTATGTTTATCATCCTAAATATGGGCTATAGAGAAAATCCCCATAAATACCTGCCAGATATAAGGTGTTTACTTTTTCTTCTAGTTTGTAAGTTGTTTAGAAACTCTTGAGTTCAAGCATCCAACAATTAGTAATTGGGTGGAGAGGCCTGGGATTCGTATATATTAAGTTTCAAGTTTCTATATCCTCTACATTCTCTTTCGCGTTTAGTATAACACATGCATTAATTAGCTTAGGTGTCGTGAAGCACGTACAACCAAATCGGGTCTGACACATGACCAACTGTGCACTTTGGTGCCATGTTAGTCCAACCAAAACCAATGAAAATATGCAGAGTGGCTTAGACTTTATACATTAAGAAAACCTTAAGTGTTTCCAAAAATAGTTTATGCATGCTAGCCTGGTAACTGAATCTTGGATTTGTTTCAAACCAACTGGGCTGACATTGTGGGCCACTAGGACATATTCATTGATGTTATCAACATAGAAATATAGTGAGGAAGTCTGAAAAATATTGTTTTCTACTTATAAATTCTGTTTATACATTACTTCCCAATACTTGGGAATAATAGCATTTCTCAAAGTTAAGGTGAAGATTCTGTGTTACAGTAGGACTCAGTGCCATGAGATGAACCAAAGAGCAAAACTTTTAGCCAACTTGTAGAGAGAAGCAGGATTCCTGGTAGAAGGTTGCTTAGTGATGTTTCCGAAACATACATTCTGGTGTGTATGAACCATCATTTAGCTTCATTAGTGTTGATGTGGTGACACAGGCCTATCTGATGGAAAATGTTTCTCTGTTCCAAAACCATCAGACTATTCTGCAGTTTAGCTTATATTCTGCTAATAATTTTATAAAGTTATCATTTACAGCTGTAGAGTTCTGGTTGCTTTATTGTTGGACCAATTTCTGGTCACAAATCCAGATTAAGATGGAAAGTTCATAGCTTATGTACTATTTATAGATTGTTGTATGTCGCTCGGGCGCTCACAGATGCATCTTCAGAATTTGAACAGATTTAACTAATGCAAAATTTGTTATTTGCCTGTTCTTTCAACAACCACAAATTTTAAAAAGGAAACAAAAAGAACATGTCATGAGTTAGGTTTATGATGCAAATAGATCAGAATTAAACGCATTCTCTTTCTTTGTTTAAAATTATGCTTCCATTTGTCTGTAGAAAATGACACCTGCTACCTATCATCCAACACACAGCCGGACCCTTCCCCCACCTGATCAAGGTAATAATGAAAACTTTGTATCTCCTCATTGTTTCATTCTGGATCCTTACCCGTTGGCTTAGTTCCTGTGTCAACAACTCATGATTCTTTAAGAAAGGCCATTCCAGTTAAGCTTTGAAATTAATCCTGACAACTGAAAGTTGACTGTTATGGGTGTAGTTTTTACCCTTGAGATTGATTAGCAATTTGCTAATCGTGCTGTTTCACAAAGTGAAATTAACCTGTCTGAACCCCTTTGCAGTGATAACCACCGAAACCAAAAATATTCTTTTGAGGCACATGTATCAGAATGATGAAGAGAAGGTGAGTATAAGTATAACATGAGCACTTTATGCCCCCTTTTCCCCATTGCACACAACGGCAGACATACATTGAGAGAGAGAGAGAGAGAGAGAGGCTTTCTTCTAGTTTTTTCATGGACTGTTTATTGCAGTTGAGACAAAAGCGAGCTGCATCAGAACATCTTTTACCAGAGCATGGATCCAAGCAACTTAGGGCCTCTGTCTCAGATAATGCAAAACAAGCTTAACTGCCTCTGGCAACAGGACTTGACTGTTGCTGCATGGAAATTGGAACATACCGAACAATGTGAATAGTTTTGTCAGTGTCAAAGATGCGCGGTGTGTGCCCTGTCTTAGAAAGAAGGGGTTTGCTTGCGCATTGTTGTAAAAGGTGCTTAACCAGACATGTAAACCATGTGTGTATAAACTAGTTATAGAGCTTAAATGGAATTAAATGTTTAGATGCATGCTTTGCTTTATGTTCTCGTTCTCTGTATGGCCAAGTTCTAACTCCATTCGAGTGAGGAACCGTGCTTCACGCAGAAGATGCATGTATAAGGTGGTTCCAGGTTCAGAAGGTGCACGCCAGAGAGCAATGTGCTACACAGTATTCTGTCTTCAATCTTGGCTTGTTAAAACGTTTTAAAGGTGTACTAACATTTTCATGTGATTTGTTGATTCACATATGCATATATAAACATCTCTCCCCCTCTTGATATCAAATAAACATACGAGCAGGATGGATAAGTTACCGTTTGGTCGTATAGCGATCTACATCGTATCTGGCAATTTTACATTTCAAAAATGGCAAGCTGGCAACATGCATCCAAATAAAATACCTAACTAAACGTTGAGATTCACTAGACAATTCATAGAAACAATTCATGGTAACATATTAAGGTTTTGTGTTAGAATCTCCCTCCTTTATTATCAGTTGTATTAAATATAAAATAAATTTTCAATAATGGTAAGCTGGCAACATGCATCCAAATTAAAATGTGCCTAATTACTCATTGAGATTCACTAGAGGATTTATATCAGTTTTATAATAACATTCGAGGTCCTGTGTTTGATTTTTCCTCTTTCATTATCGGTTTCATAATAGGCGGGATTTCTTATGAACATTTCCTTTTATATCTCATTCCACCATAATTCGTGGGATTTCTTATTTTGGGCATTTCCTTTTATATTCAATTATTTCTATATTACTCATTAATTCCCCACAAAGATGAAAAGATGGGGTTTATGGTTAAAATTAAGCGAAAAATTCATTGGATGGTTCAAATTAAGCTCAAAATACATTGGATTTGTTAATCCATTCCATAAATTAAAATTAAAAAAATTAAAAAAAGTTGGCAAATTGGGGAATATGCGAGTGCACACTTGGATTTCGCTGGAGACAAATGTAACCCAGGTGGGTCCCGCTAGTTGGTTGCGAACTTGAACAGTTGAGCTCAGCGCTGCACAACACTCGATAGAAACCGCAAAGCACAAAACGCCGTCGTAGCAACTCGTGTGGCAGAGCTTCAAACCTTCAGCAATGGCCATGGCAGCCACACCCGTCTACGCCTCTTCAATCGCCACCACCACTGCCACAACAACCAAACCACTCTCTCGTTCTCTTCCTCGCTCGAACCTGCCAGCTCCAAACCCCTACAGTCTTCGAACGCCATATTCTCTATCTCTCCGAGCCGCCCAAACGACGCGCAGGCCAGTCGTTTTTGCCTCCGCCAGCACGGCCTTCGAGGTTGACCAAGCCCCAGCTTCCGCCGCTGCCTCCAAGGTCTTGCCTTTTCGGGTCGGACACGGGTTCGACCTGCACCGGTTGGAGCCCGGTTACCCTTTGATCATCGGCGGCATAAACATACCTCACGATAAAGGCTGCGAGGCTCATTCCGATGGTAATTCTGCAATTCTAATTGTTAATTTTGTTTTTTCAAATTCTCTATTTTGTTATTTTAATTTCGATTTTTTATTTTCAATTTTGTTTATAGGGGACGTGTTGCTTCACTGTGTGGTGGATGCGATATTGGGGGCTCTGGGCCTTCCGGATATCGGGCAGATATTTCCGGATTCGGATCCTAAGTGGCGCGGTGCAGATTCCTCTGTTTTCATCAGAGAAGCTGTAAGCTATCCTTCTCCTTGTACTTACTGGTTTTTTGGTTTGGTTAGCTTTCATTTCCAGAAAGTTTGTGTTTTTGGTTTCTTGGTGAAGATTTTTTTAATCAATTGTAACTTTTGGATGGAAAATCTGAATGTTTGCGGGGTACGATATTAACCAATAATGGCTCTTTCTTTGTTCCCTCTACTTTGTGTGAAGTACATAAATTGAAGCTGAAAAAGTGAGACTAAGCAATTTAGTTGAGGGCTCGTTTGAATCATGATCTTGATACAATTTTTGGTTTTTGAGGAATACAGTAAATGCAGAAGAAAAGAAGAAAAGAATCACACACACACACACACACACACACACACACACACATTTGATTAAACTGCTGTGAGAAACTATTTTTTAGATACAATCTTGAAAAGGTTGTGTTCGCCCTTTCAAATAAGATTGGATTGGAAACCACTCAAAAACATTATGAATCCAGGGCATTGACGTTCCTCTAGACCTGAACTTTGAGGCATGGATCATAGGCTCAAAGTTCAATTTCAAGTAATGGACCCTCTGCCAAATTTCTTGTATGAGTCCTGATATCAGGACGTTGACCATGAGCCTCATGCCCTGGAACCCAGGCAGAGAGCCCAAACCCCAGGTCGGATTCTCAAGCATTGGGTGACTATGAGAGCATGTGTGCCCTTCGGGCTACATTCATGGATTTTCTGCTCTGCCATGATACCTCGTGCCCCAAGCACCTCCAACCTCATGGGCTCAAAATCTGAGTCTAAAGCCTCAAATCCTAATTCCTGGCTGCAAAACTTGTCATGGGCCACCATCCACATGTATTTTCATGGTTTTTTAAGTTGAAAAACTTTTTCGAGTTTAATATGGAAACTGTAGGTCGTAGGTAGATGAATAATGATGATAATAACAATACTTAGAATGTAACTTAGATTTTCAGATTGTATCAAAGTTTCCAGAAACCTTTTTTTCCGATCATGAGTCAAGCAGGCCATGTGTTGTTGAATGATTGATCATACATGGCGATTGGCGAAAACAATTGTTTAATCAACCTTATATTTCTATTATTTTGCTTGTTTCAGGTGAGATTGATGCATGAGGCAGGGTATGAGATTGGAAATTTAGATGCTACTTTGATTCTTCAAAGACCAAAACTGAGCCCACATAAGGAGACTATGAGGGCCAACTTGGCTAAGCTGCTTGGAGCAGACCCCTCTGTTGTGAATCTCAAAGCTAAAACTCATGAGAAGGTGGACAGCCTTGGAGAAAATCGAAGTATTGCCGCTCACACTGTGGTTCTTCTTATGAGAAAGTAAGAAAAGGCCTTTAATGGCAGTTCTTAAATTGTGATCATTGTAGTTTATCATGACTGTTGTATGCTGCTGTTCTGCTTACACAGCTTATAGGTAACGAATTTGCTTACTCATCTCACAACTGTGCATTTGGTTGGAATCACATATATGAAAAGTGTTTTCTCTTTCTCCTGGGTTTCTTTGAAATCACATATATGAAAAGTTGTTTCTCTGCCCCTTGGATTATACAGCATGTAAGCATGACATGATAGAATCGGGACCGATGATGTCACAGTAACAGATAAGTTTGGCCCTTGGCCGAGGTCTGGACTTGAAACCTTAAGTTTACCATAAATTTGGGACTGAAAGTTAGGCAGGTTGTTTCAAGCAAGCAGTCGACCCAAAAAAAAAAGAAAAGAAAAAGAAAGTCATGTTGGTCGTATTGGCATGTTGATTGACAATGACTATTCCTGATCAAACACATGGACAATATGCAAAGGACTATTAGTTTGCCAAATTTGAATTCACTTGGTTTTCTAAGGCATAAGGTAAGCATTTATACATAATAAGCTTTTTTCAGGTTTCGTAGTCGACTTTGGAATGCAGTTGGAAACATTGAAAACGTTTAAGCTTAGCCATGATGTTTTGGTTTTACTTTCTTTTATTATTATTATTATTTTATTTTTATTTTTTGGCCAAAGTTTGGAAAGGAGACGGGGGAAACTTATATACACGGGGATCATAATAGCTTGAATTCAAGATCACTTGAGAGTACACCAAAAACACGGCCAATCAGCTAAGGCCCATTGGTGTTTTACTATTTAAGTTCATCCTCAAAAAGTTGAAAAATGAAAATTTTCCGTTTTAAGTGGTGCCATGGCCAGGTAGCCACATAGATGTAAAAAGCAATTCGTTGGGCTTAACCGAAGAAAACTTTGAGTTCCATTTTATAATGTCTAAACAATGAAAAAGAAAAAGAAAAATGAGAGACTAAAATGGCATAGGATAGGTTTATAAATAAAAATGAAAAACAAATTTAAATCGTGTCTGTCATTTTTCTCAAATTTCCTCTTGATTATTTCTTTAGGCAGTAAACGGTCGCAAGCTGTGGCAGTATGGCTTGAACCCTTGTGGATATTGCGGAAGCCAGTGGAATTCCCATCAAGTATCCCATTGGGACATTGTAGTCTTTTACTCTTTACCTTTATAGCATGCAACCTGAATTTATCAAAATTTTCATGTGAGTTGTAGTACAAGATAGTCAGACAAAACTAGAATCTTGTCCACCAATTTTAATTTCAATGCACGAGGGGTGGTAGTATGCGTCAGCTGGCAATTAACACGCATGATGCATCAACAACTTACAATCATTTACGTACGCAGAATAGAGCAGAACAGAAGATTTAAAATAGATATTTTTTATTTAAATCCCACACATCTATTTGTTCACCTCAATACTTCAATCATTAAGCTGTAAGTTTTATTATTGTGTAAAAAGACAAAAAATGTCAATATCATCCAACTTAATACTTAGCTCTAGTACATCTATACACACACCCCACCACTTTTCATATTCAGTTTTAGAAAAATACAAATTCTTCTACATCGTATTGGCAGAGACGTAGAACATTGACGAGCATGCCTCTTTAAAATCTGTGTGGGTGTTGATGGAAAGAATTGTTGATTGTTTGACTTTAATGATCTTATTCTCTTCCCTTTGTTGATTGTTTGGCTGTTGATTGCTCTTTTTTTATTTTTTATTTTTTTTTATATACCTGATGTTTTAGTAAAGCTGTTCTCTTTCTATAGAAAATATTAAATTTCGGATTTGGGTTTGTTTGTGTTTTCTTAATATTATTGGCACTTCTGGAATTCCAGTATGCATCTAAAATCATAATCCTGCTGCTAGGGGTGGGCATCTTAAACCGAAATACCGAAACCGTACCCTAACCGCACCGTACCGTACCGATTTCATACCGTTTCATTTGGTACCGATAGATATTCAGTACCGTACCGTACCGTACCAATCGAGTATGGTATGGTAACGGTATCAAGATTTTGATACCGGTCAATACCGTACCGTACCGTACCGAATAGTACTCTATTGAAATATGTATATTTTTTTTTTCATTCTCTCGCTCTCTATCTCTCGCTTGCCTTTCAATTTCTCAAACGCTTTTGTCATTTATGTTTGGATTGTGTTTGTATTTTTGTAAGCCATAAGGCATAAGTTTAACTCTTTTGGTTTGTAAGCCATAATGCATGAGTTTTAACCATTTGGATTTGATGAATATGTTGATGGATAAATATTGATTTGGTTGATTTGGATATTGAATATGTTGATTAGGATTTGAATATTAAATATGTTAATGGATATTGAATATTGAAAATGTTGATGGATATTGAATATGTTGAATCTTTGAATTTGTAACTTAGGCATCACTTATTTTGGTGTTGAATATTGAATTAGTTCATTTTTTAGTTGTATCATTTTGGTACCGAAATGGTACCGATACCGTACCAATACCGATTTGGCACGGTACGGTACGGTACCAATTTTGGCAAACCATAATACTGTACCGTACCATACCGATTCAAATTTTCGGTATCGGTAGCGGTACGGGCTCAATACCGTACCGTACCATACCGTGCCCACCCCTACCTGCTGCTGCTTCAATAGTTGGGTTATTTTTCTTGTTGCTTTTCCACTCTGATAAAAACTTCAATGTATTCTCGATTGATGGCCTTCTCCTAGTGCAAAGTGTAGCAACCTCAAGTACCAGTCTTATCTCCTCTTGCACTGGAACGTACGTACCAACTTCATTCTCATTGTAAATTTCTCTCAGAACTTCCCTTGACTTGCTCTGTATGCTTGCTCTTGAATTCGTCAACCTGCCATTGCTTAAAATTTCCAGAATGATCTCCTCCTCTAAGGGTAGCTTGTGGGGTTTAAATAAAAAATTCTTTTATTTCTTATTTTTTCAGCTTGGGGTCTATTTGAGGATAATTTGGGAAGATAGTGGGGTTTTCTTAGAAATTGTGAAAATTTAAATTAAAAGTTGGGGTGAACAAAGAGAAGTGTGAGGTTTAAATAGAAAATCTCTTAAAATATTCCCCTTTAAAGAACAAATAAAACCCAAATTGGAAGAGAGGGCAGGGCATACAATCTTTGAATTTTCCTAACCAAATTGTTCCAAACTCAGAAAGCCAGAGCCAAAGACTTAAATCCACCATTTCAAAGGAAAAATTGGTCTGCAATTTTTCTTCTTTATATTGTTTAGTGAGATTTTAAGCAAGATTTGAATTGGAATTTCAACTCCCCACGTGGAGGAAGGAACCATTCTAACCCATGACCTTTGACAAAAAAAGGGGTTAATAATTTCCACTAAGAATGGAAGATAACCAAACAAATGCAAAGCCGGTTCAACGACACACTCTGCACCACTAAGCAAGCAGTCTTTATGAACAACTGCGGCTGACCAAGAAAGTCTCACGCCCTGACCCATTTGTTATAGCCACCCACATGGTTGATAAGAATTCCAATAACAGCCACCCATATGTTAAATTTTTTTCATACAAGAACCTAAAACCCTACATCTCAATTTTACTACATTCAAGTTTTGACTATATAATCCAAAGCATAAGGGCGGCTTTGGTCCCTGCTCTTTTGCACGGCATCTCAATGTTCGTGTCTAAATGTTAATTTAAATTGGCAGTCTGATAACGTAATATGTTAGTTTGATGATAAAATAATCTATGGCAAACACCCACCTCAGCAAGCAAGAACTTCTGTAAGTGCTGGAGACAATTGCAGTCAAAGACTGTTGTTTTGCCTCCACATGATTTGGAGACTAAACCATTTGTGGAATAAAAATCTGGTGCATTAATTCTCAGGTTCTTTTGATATATGGGGCCAAAATTTGAACATTCTAGACGGGCCACCAGTGAATTCAGAGCTCTCTTTTGAATTCTTGAGCCTTAAGGAATAAAACAAGGAACTTTGAATTAATATAAGTGTCTTTCTGTGTAATCTATGGAAAAATAGGGCTGCCAATGGAAATGTTAACCACTACAATTCAATTCACTCCAGCGCCAATCAAGATTTCAAGATGTTAACCAGTACAAGTCATACTTAAGACTGCAATTGATTGAGAATTACGAGCCCTTCTGACACTTATTAGGTTAGTAAGTTGGCAAACAGACAGCTAATGAATGATGGCAATGTTTCACAATTTATAACGTCACATAATTCCCTAGTGACATGTCTGCAAACTCCGATGAATTATCATACCGCGTCATTACACTCTACTAATTTGGTGGATCTAAGAGAGATCACAAATTCGGTTTTAAGTGGTTTAGTCGTGCCACATCAACATGCTAGCATGATTCCACTCACTAATAGAATTTTGTTTTGCTACAATCTTCTCTACAAGATGGTTTGACTTGTATCAACGGACCCAATAAGAGTCAACTGCTCCTTGATTTGACTTGTAGTACCAATTAACTTAATAGGAGTTCATTATCTGTGTTCAAATCATGCACCGATATTGTCCTTACTTTGACCACCTGAGTCTAATACATGAGTTGAATTAGGCTCAATGGACCTCTAGGAGTAGGGTTTTAATTTAAAAGGTCCCGGTGCAATTAGGAATTGATCACTTATATTTGAACTGTAGATTATTATTGTTGTATTCTCTGAAGTGGACTTACACATCATGGCTTGTATTGAGCCACCAACACCAACATTACTAAATATATACCCATATTCAGAATATGGAACATGAAATTTATTGATCATGGCTGACGGTAGAGATATACTTTAACTTACAAGCTTTGTCCTTTACATAAGGAAATGACCATGAAAGTGCTTCTCCCCAGCTCAGCTTCAAAGTCTTAAGTATAATTTATAACATGGAAATGAAAATCAAAACACCCACCTACTATAACCAAGATTTTCAAAGAAGCGACCATTGTGCTCCTTCATAGGAAACTTCATCAGATGCTCATTTCCTTAGAACAAAAGTCCAACTTAATATTGCATGGTCATCTCTCCGACCAGGCTTCTTACTTTATAAATACCATTAAGGAAGTTGCATTCCTCAACCAACTTACATATATCTTTATATCTCTTTTAGGATTTGCATAGCGGTCTAAAGCAAACTTTTAGCACTGCCCAAAAGACTAGACCCTCTTGCTCCTCTCTTCTTTTTATAAATAATTTACACTTTGATAGATATATTTCTCACTGCATTGCAAGGATCTTTAAGGCATATACACAATGGGGTTCACTGTGAGCAACCAACAGCAACTCTTGTCTAAAATGGCAACTGGAAATGGGCATGGTGAAAACTCTCCATACTTTGATGGCTGGAAGGCCTATGATAGTAATCCCTTTCATCCCACCAAGAACCCTAATGGGGTTATCCAGATGGGTCTTGCAGAAAATGAAGTAAGAATTTCCAAAAATGAAACCTTTCTTCATTCTTTTCCAAGTTAATTAGGTGGTTTTTGAAGAGCATAATTACTTAACTCTTGTTTTCTCTTCTTCTGTGTGCAGCTATGCTTTGATTTGATTGAAGAGTGGGTTTTGAACAACCCAGAAGCCTCCATTTGCACAGTAGCAGGAGTAAATGAGTTCAAAGACATAGCTATCTTTCAGGACTATCATGGATTGCCAGAATTCAGAAATGTATGCACTCAAGATATATATGCTGCACTTTTTATTAGCATCACTGATTTGTTACCTTAATCTAGCAATATTTCATTAACATTTGGCTATATACTGACGTAATTATTGGGGTGATAAATCCACAGGCAGTTGCAAATTTCATGGGAAAAGCGAGAGGAAATCAAGTCACCTTTGACCCCGACCGGATTGTTATGAGTGGAGGCGCAACCGGAGCTCATGAGATGATAGCCTTCTGCTTGGCTGATCCTGGGGATGCATTTCTGGTGCCTGTTCCTTATTATCCAGGGTATGTTCTAATATTCTTTTGGGAAAGATTAAATTAATAATGTAGGCCATTTGCATGATAATGAGACTTTTAGCAATTGATAAGTGGACCTTGACTTTTATTTCAAATCAAAACTCTATGACCTTGGACCAACTTGAGCTTAGGTGGGGGCCTGAAAACAATCAATGACAACTGGGTCACCAGATTGTCTTAGAAACCATTCAATACGTATCACATTTTGACAAAAAGGAAAAAGATGCTTGGGGAAAATGAGGTCCACTTTCAATTTAAAGGACTGTTTACAACTGTGCAGACTTTGGACACTTTTATCTATAAAAGAATCGATCCCTTTCTCAGTTCTAGCCAATTAGTTGAAATCTTAGAAGCTGGATGCACTGAACTTGTGTACAATTCTTACCCTTTCATGGTGGCTCAGTAATTTCCACCTCATGTCAAAAGCAGTCGAAGCAGGGACAAATTTTCCCTGGTGAAAAACTTTATAATGAAACTGTTTAAAGGCAGCAGAGTTTAAATTAAGGGAAATAATCTTTGAACAACTTATATCCATTCTCCAGCAATTGCTAATTTTTTTTTGGAATTTATTTGCAGTTTCGATCGAGATCTTGGATGGCGAACGGGGGTGCAACTTATTCCAGTTGCTTGTGAAAGCTCCAACAGTTTCAAGGTCACCAGAGCAGCCTTGGAGGCTGCCTATGAGAAAGCTCAAAAGGATAACATCAGAGTAAAGGGCTTGCTGATCACCAATCCTTCAAACCCCTTGGGCACTGTCCTAGACAGAGAGACTCTAAGAAGCCTAGTGGCCTTCATCAATGAAAAGAAAATCCACCTGGTGTGTGATGAAATATATGCTGCCACTGTCTTCAGCCAGCCAAGCTTCATAAGCATTGCAGAAATCATAGAGGAAGATATCGAATGCGACCGCAACCTTGTTCACATTGTCTACAGCCTCTCAAAGGACATGGGGTTCCCTGGCTTCAGAGTTGGCATTGTGTATTCTTACAATGATGCGGTGGTAAATTGCGCAAGAAAAATGTCCAGCTTCGGCTTAGTCTCTACGCAAACTCAGCATCTGATCGCATCCATGCTTTCAGACAATGATTTTGTGGACAGATTTATTGCACAGAGTGCTAAAAGGCTGAAAGCAAGGCACATGCGCTTCACTATGGGACTTGCTCAAGTAGGCACAAGTTGTTTGAAGAGCAATGGTGGGCTCTTTGTATGGATGGACTTGCACAAGCTCCTCAAGGAGCAGACATTTGAAGCTGAGATGGCGTTGTGGCACACGATAATCCATGAAGTTAAGCTCAATGTGTCACCAGGTTCTTCTTTCCATTGCCCTGAACCAGGCTGGTTCAGAGTTTGCTTTGCCAACATGGATGACAAGACCATGGAAATTGCTTTAACTCGAATCCGAACCTTCGTGCTACAAGATAAGGAGGCTGTGGCGCCAAGGAAGAAGAACAGGTTCTGGCAAAGCAACCTCAGGCTCAGCTTCCAATCACGACGAATGGATGACATCATGATGTCGCCGTGCATGATGTCGCCTCAATCGCCTCTGGTTCGAGCCATGACTTAAAAAACATGACTACCAAAAGTAGGTAGAATCTATAAATTCTTTTCTTGTGAAATTATTTTCATGCCATCTCTTCAGTATTAACTACAGAGTGGCGCGCATTTTTCCTTCTTTTCACTTGATCAGTGAAAAAAATATTGTATTTGTTTGTAATGATTTCTCACAAAATAGATTTGAAGAATTTAATTCAATGTTAATTGTTTTACATCAATATGTTTTAAGATCAAAACAATTGTGTATATAAAAAATCCTAATAGATTCATGCATTTCATAAAGAGTCAGAGAAAGCAACTGCAAAGAAATATATTAGTAGGTCTTTACGACCATGTACCAATATCAGACCAGAAGAACGTGGACTGCAAAAATCTTGTTGAATTTTCATCATGGAAAACATTATTGTGGTACAGAATTTTCTTTAAAAAACACATGAAAATTGAAAATCGTTTTTGTTCATTGTTCCCTAGTATATATTGTGCACGTGCTGTCATGAGACATGGTGTCTCATAAATTTCTGTTGTGTTTCTGAACATTTGGCTTCAAGCATGTTCATCGGAATTGAGCCAAAATTCCTAAGCTAAACTTGAGCACTATGATGTTCGGCTTGACTTAGGTCTCGTTTACACCCATCACTATGATGTATTAGTCCGGCCCATATTGTTTGTGGGTCGGGCCGGTCTGTTCCTCTCAACACAAGGAAGCCTTACTTTTGATGTGGCTCTTTTCTTCACAAACGCTCATTAGGGAGCTGGAGCTGGAGCTGGATATGTTTATTTGTAGAAACCTTAATGTTACCCGCCACCAAGACACTACAGAGAAGTTAACTGTGATGTCATTGATCCGGTTTTTTCCAAGCGACAAAAAGAGCAAACTACCCACCGCAATGGGGATGTTTTGAGAAATCTTTTGCTTGTATAAGCAAATACTGCTCATCAGCATGATAGCTGTGATCAATTCAATACTACTAATCCTTATTCTGCTTGTTACAATGTCACCATCTGCTTCACATTAATTTAAATTAATCAGTCATTATTATCTCTTATGTTCCCATCAAAGGATAAAGAACGATGGAGTTGGGATGGATTTGCTTAAACAAACCAAAGATTAGTTGGATTATTGGTAAACAAAAAAGCATGAAAAGATGACTTCATCTTGTACACTATTTAAGTCCAAGGACCATGGCATTGCACTAGCAGCTACACATACATAAACATTTTAATGATAACATTGAAGTTTGGCATATATGTGTTTTTTCAAATAAGTCATATAAAAGTGGTCTTTTATTTTTCAACGGGATTTAGCTTAATGGAAAAAAGACCTTAACTTGCAGACTAGTGGT